TGTGTTCAATGACATGAGACAAAGTATATGTGAACTGCTGTATGGAAAGTGAATTTGCTCTGTAAATCTTCACCCAAATCACAATTAAAAAAAAAAAGATTCTGTAGGTCAGCTGTGTGGTTCTGGTTTGGGCTCTACTAGACTTCCCATGCATCAGCAGACAGCAGGTGAGTTGTCTGGCATACTGACACATTTATTTGCCAGTTGGCAGGAGTGATGAAGAGACAACAGGATCACGTATTTCTCATCATCTGGCAGGTTAGCCTAGATTCAGTCAAGTGGAGACAGGGTTCCAAGTGCCACCAGAGGGCAACCCCCAGTGCACAATGGGGCATTTGCTACTCTCATTGGCCAAAGCAAGTCACAGATCTAGATCCAGAGAAACTGACTTCACCTCTTGATGGTGAAGCTGCAAAGACATATGGCCATGAAGACAGGAAGAATCTGAAGCATTCTCGCAACCAACCTATGGAGATATGAGATATGATTTCCTTTATATGGCCCTTTGCTGTGGTTCTTTGGAAAAACAGCTTGGGAACAGCCTCCCCCCACACACACACATCCCCAAATTCCTAAGAAAGGAGCACTGGTAGCATAGTGGTAAAGCATTCGGCTGCTAACTGAAAGGTCGGTGGTTTGAACCCATCAGCTACTCTGCTTCTGCAAATATTTAGAGCCTTGGAAACCTATGGTTCAGTTCTACTAAGCCAAAGGGTTGCTGAGCCAAAATCAACTTGATGGCAGTGGGTTTGGGTAAGCCCTAAGCAGTTGTTAACTTTTCTCTAGTTCTTTGAGGAGCAGTTCAGGGAAAGACAGACTTTTAAGTTGTTTTCTTCCCATGAGGGTTACTTTTGCCCAGGAATTCCCCAGGGTTGATTGGCATTTCCTGGGTTAAGTTGTAAACAACTTGATGGCTTGTACTTTTGTCTGCCTTATTTGAATGACATCACATGGGTAATTGAGGACTAGCTGAATTCTGGTCTGATGAGGGAGAATGTGCCTTGTAATTGATAAGGATTGGGATATATAAATGGTTGAAATACAGATGTTTTAAAGGACTCTTGGTTCAGAGAGAGATACTGGCTAAGACCTGGGCTGGTAGAGAAGCAGAACTATGTGGAAGCCCAGGGATCCTGAAGCTGCTACACTAGCTGGAGAAGCGTAAAACTTGAGTGGCCTGAATACAGATAGCAGCTAAGAGAGCTGAGCAAGTTGCCACACTGGTTGTGAGTTGGGCCAGTTAGCAGCAGAGAGGACAATGGCAGAGAGCTGACAGTGGAGAAGCTTGATGGTAGAGAGGCCTGAGAACAGATAGCAACTGAGATAAGCAAGCTGCTATGTTGGCTGTGAACTGAGCAGTTAGTGGCAGCAGAGAAACCGATGATGGAGGGCTGCTAAAGGAGCTGAGCAAGCTTCTATACTGGCTGTGAGGTGGGCCAGTTAGCAGAAGAAAGGCTTGATGGAAGAGAGCACTTAAGAGAGCGGAGCAAGTTGCTACTCTGGATGTGAGCCAGGCCACCTGGCAGTGAAAAGGTCAATGGCAGAAATTTGGTGGTAGATAGCCTAATGTCAAAGTATCTGATGGCAGAAAGAGCTGTTACTAGGAGAGCAGCTGCTGACAGAGTTGAGCAAGTTACTACACTAGCTGTGAGCAGGTCTAGTTAGTGGCAGAGTCTCAACAGCAGACAGCTGGTGGTGAGTAGTCTAATGGCAGAGCACCTGACAGCGAAGAGGCTAGATGACACAAAGAAACCAGGTTTGTACTGATCCTGATTCTTATCCCTCACAAATTTAAGACAATTCATTATACCATATCACACAACCACAGTTTTGTCAGTTCATTCTCGCTTGGATGAGTTTGCTTTTTGCAGAAAAGCAACAATTCTTTGTATGTGTCTTAAAGTGGCTTTCTACATCATTTTGGCATTCCAGGAGTCAGGTAACAGATTTTGAGTTATTTAAATATAGTTACTTATCTTCCTTTGTAGGTTTATGCAGCTTGACTTATTCAACTTTGTGTCAATCACATTACACTAAGAAGAATGCTTTGTACACTGTAGGGGAGGCACTGGTGGTTCGCTGGTAGAATTCTTGCCTTCCATGTGGGAGACCCGGGTTCAGTTTCTGGTCAATGCCCCTCATGTATAGCAATCACCTGTCATTGGTGATTTGCTGTTGCTGTGATGGTAAATAGTAGCTCTGGTAGCTTAGTGCCTAAGGCCCTTGACTGCTAACCAGAAGGCTGGTGGTTCAAACCCACCAGCCACTCCTTGGAAGGAAGATGGGGCAATCTACTTCCATAGTGATACTGCCTTGGAAACCCAAGGAGGGGTTTCTATGAGTTGGGTCTGACTCGACGACACATAACAACAACAACAACAATGATGGCAAATAGGTTTCAGCAGAGCTTCCAAACTAAGATGGCCCAGGAAGAAAGACCTGGTGATCTACTTCTGACATTAGTCAATGAAAACCCTATCACTCACAGTGGTTGGAATCAGGGGTCACCTTGATTGCTGCTAACAACAACAAACCTTAAGGGTAACAAGCCCCAAGCAAAATGGTGACTGAGGATTTCCAAGGCAGAAGGCTCAATGAAACCAAGTAAACTCTCCCTCCCACCTCTGTTCTCCATAGCTCCTTCCCCACATTCAGGTCCCTGCTCAGATGTCATATTTCCTTACAGTCTTCCCCCATATACATACGGAAGAGGATAAGGGGGCCTGAAGTTTGCAACCTACATTTCGTACTGCAAAAACGGCAAGGAGGCCACATGTTCTGACCTCCTCTAATCCCACAAGAGGAAGAAAGAATTCCTATCAATAGCCCAAGGCCTATTCCTGAGAGGCCAGACATGCTGCCTCCCTCCAGTCTTTTCTCCAACCGTTCCTCCCAAAGCACCCACCACCTCTCTCCTGGGTTCAATAATTCTCTGCAGTGGCCACACAGAACTCATGGATTACAGGGTTTATTAGGGAAGCACCAGGCTACAACTCAAGTTCAGGAAGAACGCTCAGTCTCTCCCAGCCCACCATCCCTCAGCCAATAATCTCTCACAGTCTCTCCCCCAGCAGTGCGTGTCCCTCGGTGTCTCACTCAGCAATGCGCATCTCTTGCGTCTCTTTCCCAGCAGCAAGTGTCTCTTTCAGGAGCCTGTGTCTCTTTCAGCAGCAAGTCTTCCTCAACCAGCAGTCAGAGAGAGAGTTCTGCCTCTAGGAGACCTCCTTTTGAGCCCCGCAGAGTGGCCAAACTAGCCAATCATAGCATCAGAACTCTAAGCACCTGAGAGAGTGGGCACCTCCCAGGACATTGTTTTGTGCCACGCCCAACAGAAATACTCCAGGTGGACAACTTTAGCTATCAGGAGCTCCTCAGTTGCTCATAGAAAATCCCACCTTGGAGTTCACAAAGACTTATGGGTAGAAAAGCCACACTAAGTAATTTACTACACCACAGGTATTCTCAAATGTTTCAGGAAAAACATAAGATACAAATAGAAATAAGGAGATGTGCCATACCGTTAGCAACTTTTGCATCTAGATGACGAATGTATGGGAGTTCTTTGTATACTCCTTGCAACTATTCTGTAAATTATTTCAAAGGAAAAGTTAATGAATTAAAAATAAAACCAAACCAGTGCTTCCTTTAATAGTCTATACATATTTTTTGATGCACAGGCCCAAGTTTCTGAAGCATATTCTGCAGAGTAGAATCATGGAATCATATCTTCAACTTGACTACATTGTTTATGCATTGCCTTTCTATGATGTAAAGGCTAAGGCAGTGCTATTAAAAGTGTAGGCCGCGGACAGGTAGCAACAGCTGATTATAAATGCAAATTCTCAGACCCTGACCCAAGACTTACTGAATCAGAAACTCTGGGGGTAGCAGTGCAGGAATGTGCGTTTTCACACGTCCCCCAACTACTCTAAAGTTGAAGCAGCGATAGTCTATGACCCATTAGGACAGCTTCTGGCTTGCAGACTGCAGCCTCCGAGCGAATGCATAGGGGAACCACTTAATGTGCGTTAGATTGTGTACTAATCAAGGGACAACGCGCCTTTCCCTGGGGAAATCTGTAGCGCGCCCTCCCCTGGACACCCTTCCCAAGCAGGCAGCCAGACCCAGACCCCTTCAGCAGGGTGGGGAGCGGGAGCCGGACGGGGCGGGCCGCAGGCAGGCGTCCCCGCCTCCCGACCTTTTGCCAGGCGCGTTGCGCCGTCTTCCTGCTCCTTCCTTCCCTTCTTGTTCCCATCCGTCCTTCCTTCCGCTGGGCGCAATGGATTCGAGGCGCGGGGCGGCCGCAGCGCTACTGGCAGTCCTGTGCGCGAGCTGTGCGCTACGCGCCGGGCGCGCCCAGTACGAGCGCTACAGCTTCCGCAGCTTCCCGCGGGACGAGCTGATGCCGCTCGAGTCGGCCTACCGGCACGCGCTGGACCAATACAGCGGCGAGCACTGGGCCGAGAGCGTGGGATACCTGGAGATCAGCCTGCGGCTGCATCGCTTACTGCGCGACAGCGAGACCTTCTGCCACCTCAACTGCAGCGCGGCGCCCGAGCCCGAGCCTGCCGCCGGCCTCGCCCGCTACCCGGAGCTGCGCCTCTTTGGGGGTCTGCTCCGCCGCGCACATTGCCTCAAGCGCTGCAAACAGGGCCTGCCAGCTTTCCGCCAGTCGCAGCCCAGCCGCGAAGTGCTGGCCGACTTCCAGCGCCGCGAACCCTACAAGTTTCTGCAGTTCGCCTACTTCAAGGCAAGTCTGCCACGCCCCGCCGATCGGCCCC